CTCATTGGCTCTTAACCCAGCTACCTCACTTCCTTGTCACTGCCTGTCTATACAGACCTCCAGGTCTCTATGGTTGGTACTGGGATTAAAGACATGTGTTACCATGCTTGGCTGTGTCCTTGGACACACAAAGGCTCTGCCTGCCATGTGATCTGCCTGCCAATAGCTAGGCAGGATTTTCAGGATAGAGAGAATGCTGGGAAGAAGAAGGGCAGAGTCGCAAGGAGATACAGAGGAAGCGTGACATGTAGGAGATGAGGTAACAAGCCATGAACCACATGGCAGCACGTAAATTATAGAAATGGTAAATTTAAGTTATAAGAGCTAGTTAGAAACAAGCCTAAGCTACCAGCCGAGCTTTCATAATTAATAATAAGTCTCTGTGTGGTTATTTGGGAGCTGACTGGACAGAGAAAGACTCGCTACAGACACCCATGACCCCACCCCCACCAAGCTCATCTTGGGTGGGCCTAATACGGCAGCAAGGTTTAAATAGAAGGAAGGAGACACACATGAGGAGCACTGGGGACGCAGCTCAGCTGTTAGAGCGCCCGGCTGCTCTTGCAGAAGATTGGGGTTCAGTCCCCAGCACCCACACAGTGGCTTACAGCCACCAAAAACTCCAGTTCTGGAGAACCTGGCATCCTCTTCCGGCCTCTGTGGGCACCAGGCACAAGTAGCATGCATAGATGCACACAGATCACACTCATCCACATAAATAAGTTTTTGAAAGAGTGGGAAATGCCGAGGAAGTAGTCGTCCACCACGGGTCCCGTCATGATAGTCATCATCGTCTCAGCTCCAAGTCGCTCAGCAAGGCAGTCCAACAAGGTGTCAGTCTTTCTCCAGGAAGCAAGCTCCACCCCTGGGGGTTCCTGGGGAGATTCTAACTTTCCTGAGTACCCTTCTCTCAGTACTCTGATACCCAGCAGGGAGTGTCCATGTGTCTTTAGAATTACCCATTCAGACAGGCCAGTTACCTACGTGCCCAATATTTTTTTTTTTTGAGGGGGGCTGGAGAGACAGCCGTGGGTGCTGGGAGCCAAACTCTTGCAATTTTGGTTGTGAGCCAAGCCTTTAACAGCTGAGCCATCTCTCCAGCCCCACGCCCAACATTCTTTAAGAAATACTTTAATTATGTATATGTGGAGTAGGGAATATGTACATGCACGTGCAATGCCAGCAGAGGCCAGAGAGGGTATCCGATCCCCTGGAGTTGGAGTTACACACATTTGTGAGCCATCTGGACTGGATGCTGGAACAACCGAACTGGGATCCTCTGAACAGCAGAAGACATTTTCTGCAGTTCTTTGTTTTGTTTTGGTTTGGTTTGTTTGTTTTTTTTGAGACAGGGTTTCTCTGTGTAGTTTTGGTGCCTGTCCCGGATCTTGCTCTGTAGACCAGGCTGGCCTTGAATTCACCAAGATCCGCCTGCCTCTGTCTCCCGAGTGCTGGGATTAAAGGCGTGTGCCACCACCACCCAGCTTCTGCAGCTCTATACTCAGCATTTTTTTTAAAGATTTATTTATTTATTATGTATACAGTGAGTGTTCAGCCTGCAGGCCAGAAGAAGGTACCAGATCTCATTATGGATGGTTGTGAGCCACCATGTGGTTGCTGGGAATTGAACTCAGGACCTCTGGAAGAACAACCAGTGCTCTTAACCTCTGAGCCATCTCTCCAGCCCTATACTCAGCATTTTTAAATGGGTTCTGGGGATTCGAACTTAGGTCTTCATGTTTTCAAGAAACGCTTTACCAACTGACCAGCCTATCTCCCCAGGTCTTCTATTGCTTTTATGAAAAGGTTTGGGGCCAACATCCACAAACTGGCATGATCTGATCCACTCTCCACTTGATTGCTACCTGATCTCTCTGCCCATCCCCCTCCTGCCTCTGGACTTCGGCGCATGGCTGTAGAACCTCTGAAACCATCTCTCTCTGATCTTGTTGGTACAATAACAACCTCCAAGTTTTCATTTAGTGTCAGACGCCACGTCAGGAAAGCCTGTTATCTCATTTAATATCCCCAAGAGTCCTTGAGATAAACTCAGCTTCCATGTCCATTATTGTAAAAGTAGGCCCAGAGAAGTCAAGGCATTTGCCCAAACATGCACAGCTTAGCTGGCACTAGCTGAAGTAGAGTGAACTCAGCTCTGTCCAGCTCTACAGTGCTCTACAGAAGGAAAGCTTCATCTCTACTCCTTCAACGCTGCATATCCCAGCATGGACACACTCCTAAGGGATGATGGGAAGCTGTCAGGTTTCCCCGCTCTGCCTCCATCTTTGAAAGGTGTGACCCACAGAAATGCAGTCAAGGGCAGAGCTGCAGACCTTGTACCACCTGCGTCTTCATTATAAGTTCCTGGAGTGTTCAGAGCAGATGAAACCCGCAGGCAGGAGCAGCAGCAGCAGCAGCCGTGCTGAGGGAGATGGCTCAGCAGGGAAAGTTCTTATCCCACAAGCCCAAGGGCCTGAGTTCAAATCTTCTGCACCGTGGAAACAACCAGAGGCAGTAATGTGGAGCTAGAGGCAGGAGTCAGCTCCAGATTCAACAAGAAACCCTGCCTCAGAGACCCACAGCCAGACATTATGCAGAAAAAGAGTCTAAATGGGATATCTCCATCAAATCCTTCCCTTCGGGGCTCAGAGCTAGGAAAGAGGAGGCAGAAAAGAGTCTAAGAGACTCTGTGTGTGAGTGTGTGAGTGTGTGTGTGTGTGTGTGTGTGTGTGTGTGTGAGAGAGAGAGAGAGAGAGAGAGAGAGAGAGAGAGAGAGAGAGAGAGAGAGAGAGAGAGAACCACACTTCCCAGAATTCAGGAGGCAGAGGCAGGTACATCTCTGTGAGTCAGGAGCCAGCCTGGTCTACAGAGTGAGTTCCAGGACAGCCAGAGTTACACAGAAAAACCCTGTCTCGGAAAACCAAAGGAGAGAGAGACAGACAGACATACAGAAGGGATGGAGGACACCAGGAGAACTAAGCAGGCACATACGAGCTCACAGAGCCTGAAGCAGCAAGCACGAGGTATACACAGATCTGCACCAGGTCCTCTGTGTAGACGAAGCCTGTTTGTTTCTGAAAGACAGAAAAGGAGTGGATCCGGAGGGGAGGAGAGGGAGGGGAAACTAATCAAGAGAAAAGAATCCATGTTCAATAAAAGGAAAGAAGAGAAACCCTGCCTCAAACAATAAAATGGAGGGGATTCAGGAAGACACTTGACAGGGACCTCTGATCCACACACGTCAAGAAGATGCGGTGGGGACGAAACACTGTATGCTTTCTTGTTTCCTGTCTTCCGCAAATCTAGACATATATATATACATGTAAATGCGTATGTTAATTTTTGCAGTATTATGCAAATGTATGCAGTCACGTGATGGAAGCCAGGGTCTCCTGGGTGCTCCGGATGTAACAAGGAGGGGCCCACATGCTACCCGTCAGCAAGCAACTGCTTTTCTGAATGTGTGCTTCCCAGAGTGTTCCACCATCACCCTCGAAGAACAGATCAAAATCCAACTTCAGCACTACCGTTTCCTCTGGGCTAAATCCCCAACAAGCAATAAAGCACACCTAGTGCACAGCCCGAGGTCCCGCTGTGATGTCGCTAAGCACAGAATCTAGGTTGGGTGGGGGTGACAAAGGGATTTCCACCCTCCCATAGGCAAGGTAAGTCACCTGAAGTCACAGCTAGGAAATACTGAAATGGAAATTTTTTAAAAATCTGTTGAGACACAGAGTGGCTGTGGGTTTTGAGTTTGGATGACTCACACGGAGTGAGGAAATGCTTACCATATCAGTCGAGTTTACAAATACGCCGCCACCAGCCCAAATTACATCACCCTCAGCTTCCGCTGGGAGGCCTTCAGTGTGGCTGTCAGTTGGACCCACGCTCCACATCCCCAGGTCCCCAGTTTACAGACACACACAGAGTTCCCATCCTTGCCTTTACCTGGAGTCTGGATAAAGGCTCAGCTGAGAGGGACCTGTCAGCCTGCACACCCGTGGGGGAGGAGGGGTGACTTCCTTAACAAATTCTCCTTCATTCATCCAGATTCATAATTATATTGCTCCAACAGGTTCTGTCTCTATGATGTGTTGGACTAGTACACAGAGTCCAATGCCATCACACCATAAATCACAGACTTTCACACCAGAGATAGTACATGCCTTTGGCTTTGCCAAACCTGGATAGTTGGGGGGTTTTTGCTTTGTTCTTGTTTTTTGTTTATTCGCAGCTGGACTCCCAGAAATAGACTGCTCTGAAGCAGAGCACAGGTCTCACAGGCATGAGACTCTGGTTCCATCTCCAGCACCACATCTGCCACCCTGTAATCTCAGCACTCAGAAGGGGTCAGAATGCTGGCCTGAGTTTGAGGCCAGCCTAGGCTACATATGGACGTTCAGGCCAGCCTGGGCTACACAAGACTCTTGTCTCAAAAAAGGGAGAGTTGTACAGAGCCAGTTCAACCAATTATTTTAAGGACCTGAATTTGGATGCTTAGCACCCACATAAAAGCCACAGGTATAGTAGTGCCCTTAATCCCAAGGGAGTTGGGGGCAAAGCCCAGGGGTGGAAACAGGATTCCTAGGGTTTGATTGCCAGACTGTCTTGCAGAAACAGTGAGTTCCAGGTTCAGTGAGAGACCCTGCCTCAAAAGCCAAGGTGGAGCTAGGTGGTGGTGGCACACGCCTTTAATCCCAGCACTCGGGAGGCAGAGCCAGGTGGATCTCTGTGAGTTCAAGGCCAGCCTGGTCTACAGAGCGAGATCCAGGACAGGCACCAAAATGACACAGAGAAACCCTGTCTCAAAATACCAAAAAAAAAAAAAAAAAAACCCAAGGTGGAGAGTGACTGAAGAAGACGCTTTGTGTCAACCTCTCTTCTCTCTACACATGCACACCATATACATCACACACACACAAACATATTCATGAATGAGCAGCATATCTATAAACATGAAAATTTAAAATTAAGCATCGAAAGTAATAAAAAATAAAGACTTATTTACAAATACATTTATTTCTCACATATTAATTAATATAAATAGAGAGTTTCCTTTGGGGGTTTTCAATGGCTGGCTTCTTGATAACACCAGTAGTTTTCTAATGCTGTCCGATGAATTATATAAAGTGTTGTCTGAGCTCTGCTCACAATAAATACTGAGTCCAGTCAAGGACAGGGAATGGGGAGAGTCCTGGAAGAGGGGACCCCTGCTCAAGCCCCATGAGATATAGCAGCTTGGGGTCTCAGCAACCAAGGGTCACAAGAAGGGTGGCTGGCAGCACCCATGTGCCGCTATTGTGTGGATGACAATTCCCGTGGAGTGTCGGGTTCCACACGGAAGAGGACAAAGCTGGTGAAATTAGTCTGAGAGAGCTGCCAGTCTTTGTATGCCTCCTGGGCTCCATGTAGATAGGCCCTCAGATTCACACTGAGGCGGTGGCCAGCCTTCAGGAGTATCAGGTCACTCCAGGAACCCTCCACTAAGTCGGCCTCCATGGAGCAAGGGGACAGGTCCACAGTCAGGGCTGAGCTGTCAAGGTCATCTACCTGGGGATCCAGCTGCAGAACAAGAGAGACCTGGCCCCGCACCTCGTGCTCCATGTTTTTGGACACTGGACTGAGCTTCAGTTGCAAGACCACAAAGTAGAGCCCAGCTTTGTCCACCACCAACTCCTGTTGCTCCTTGTCGTACCTCAGACCCTGGGACAGGTACGAGCTCCCGGCTCCACTTTGGCTGTGCCAACTCAGGGTCCTATTTTCCAGCAATGCTTCTAGAAAAAGAACAGAGTTGCTGAGGGTAGTGGGGTGTGGAGAGGTGCTACCATGGGAGTGGGGGTGGGTGGGAGGAGGAGACGGACAGGAGGAAACTGAGGGAGGGAGGGAGGGAGGGAAGGAGGGAGGGAGAGAGGGAGGGAGGGAGAGAGGCCACCTAGAATGGACACCATCCAAGAAAGTGGGTGTGAAATAGGAAAGAGGTGATAGGGAAGAGGGGTAGAGATGCAGGTGGGCTCCAGGGAGGGGATGAGTAAGGAGAGCTGCAGGGGTGGGAAGGTGAGGAAGATTGCTGCTAAGGGAGTGTTGGGAGAGAGTGGAGGAGGGTGAGGGGAAAGGGAGAAAGGGGGAGAGATCGGGGAGGAGGAAGAGGGATGAGCAAAACGGGGAGAGGCTCCAGGAAGGGAAGAATCCAGGAGGGCCAACAGAGAGGAAAAACCAGCTAGAATTTAGACAAGCAGGGAGGGACTGGGGCTGGGGCTCGGCAGACAGAGTGCTCCCCTGAAGCCCTGGCTTCATCCGGCTAGGAGGATGGCCAGCCTCAGCTACAAAATGGATTTGAGGGAAGCCTGGGCTACCTGAAAGAAAGGGAGGGAGGTCCCCTAGAGCCAGGCGGGGGGTGAGAAGTACCAATTCTCAGAGGACCCAGATGAGGTCACAAGGCTGGCCGCGGGAGAGACCGAAGAAGTGAGGGACAGGGACAGAGTAGATGCAGGACCCGCTGGGAATACATCAGGCGCACTCACGGTTTTTAGCCTGTAGCTTGGCGAACACCGGACACCCCTGGGAAGAAAAAAGAATAAAACTAAAGGCTCCCTCCCCTACATCCTAAAGGGGAAGGTGAGAATTCATAGGGCCCAGCGCACATTGGGGTGCGCTTCAACTTTAGATGGAGGAAAGCCCCAGGGTCCTAGAGGGACAGTAGGGAAATGCGGTGCACCCTCAGCAGTCCTTCCTCAGGTCCCTTATCTACATAGGACGTTCAGGGGATTAAAGACGCAAAGGAGTCTCCTCTGAGTGCGAGATGGAGGAAGCGCTTCAAGCGTGGTAACGCTGGGCGCAGAGGTGGGGTGTTTTCCCCAGATCGGTGCAGAGGGATGCTTTTAGAAGAAAGGGTCCCCCAGGGAAAGGACGTGCCTCACCTGCCCTGTAGTGTTGGGGCAGCCAGTGTAGGGAACATGGGTGCCTGTCAGGTTTGGAGTCTTCTCTAGGGTCCTCAGGGGAGACGAGGTGGTGATTATGAGCGCCGGCAGGGTCGAGATGAGGGTGAAGAAAGCGATCAGGCCACTGACGAGCAGCACCACCACCAAGGCGCCTAGCCCGTAGAGCAGCTGGCAGCGGGAATACGAGCGCGGGGCGGGCGGCCACGCGCGTGCCTCGGGGTCCCGAACACTAACCGTGGGGCCCGCAGCATCCTCAGGGTGCTCGGCATCCACTGAGCGCTTGGTGTCTGCGAGGAACGCAGCATCCGAGGGGAGCTCAGCAGCGGCTGGACGCGCAGCAACTGCGGGGAGCGCGGCATTCATGGGGCGCATAGTACCTGAGGGATGCCTGGCCTCCGCCGCGTCCTCCGCATCCAGTGCGCTCTGGTCCATAGCCACTGTCGGCCAGTTCTTGTCTCCCGCCTGCGCCCGCGCTTTATAAGCTGACGAGCGCTTTTCCGGGGGAGGATGCGCGGGGTTCCCGGGCTCCTAGCTCCGCCCCATGACTCCGGGAACTAACTTTCTCCCCTCCTCCTCTCTAGTCCCTCCCCGGGGTCCAGGCCCTGTGCCGCCGCCACCTTCTTCTTCTTCTTCCTCTTCTTCTTCCTCTTCTTCCTCTTCTTCTTCCTCTTCTTCTTCTTCTTCTTCTTCTTCTTCTTCTTCTTCTTCTTCTTCTTCTTCTTCTTCTTCTTCTTCTTCTTTCCTCCTCCTCCTCCTCATTCTCCCTCTCCTCCTCCTCCTCATTCTCCTTCTCCTCCTCCTCCTCCTCCTCCTCCTTGGTGTGTGTGTGTGTGTGTGTGTGTGTGTGTGTGTGTGTGTGTGTGTGTGTGTTTAAAACTGACACATTGCCGGGCGGTGGTGGCGCACGCCTTTAATCTCAGCACTCGGGAGGCAGAGGCGGGTGGATCTCTGTGAGTTCGAGGTCAGCCTGGTCTACAGAGCGAGATCCAGGAAAGGTGCAAAGCTACACAGAGAAACCCTGTCTCGTAAAAATAAATAAATAAATAAATAAATAAATAAATAAAACCCCCCCAAAAAAAAAACAACCTGACACATTAAACAGTTGTTTATATGATGGGGACCATGTGATGTCGGGGTCCACTCCCTCCCTGGCCTCTCCTGGATCCACAGTCTGTCTCCCTTCTTTTCCCTGTCCTGAGGTTTGGGTTTGAGAGGCGCGCAAACGGGGATCGCTCGGAAGAGGACTGCGCTGCCTGAAGATCCTTGATTCTCTCAGCCTCTGGCCCTTTAGTTCCGTTTTTCTGTCTCTTACTCTCGGACTTCTGTCTCTCCTCCTGTCTCTCTTGCCCCCCTTTCTTCTACCCCTAGCTCCCCATCCTTGGGACGCCCCCAGGGTTCCCCTAAATTCAGGGCTCTTTCAGAGGACTCTGGGGACATCCAGGACTCATGGTCTTCCCACCCCGCAGAAGAACCAAAGAGCCCTGCTGAGCACCCCCACCCAGCCTCTTCTTCCCTGGGACCCCCGGGCCTTTCCTGGCCTGCCCCCACCCACCTTCTTGGGGCTTCCTGTCAGGAGCCTCTTAGGACCCCAGAAGCAGAAGGCTGGAGAGTCCGGATAGAGAAATCCCCCCAGGCCACGGACACATTTTTCGATTTCCCGTTCTTTCGGTGCTCTTTCCTGAGGTGGAGGCGGAGGGGAGACAGGAACATCAGAAAGGCCCCCAAAAGAGGAAATGAGAGGTGATTAGCGTTGGGCAAACCCTGGGGACAGACTCCTCAGTGTCTTATCTGGTGAGAAGACAAGCGAGGAAGGAACTCAGGTCTCCAGGCTAGGTCACCAGGCTAGGTGACCTGAGTTCCTTCCCCGGGACCCACTTGGTGGGGCGAGAGAACTGACTCCTACAGAACTGTCCCGCAGATGTCCTGTGACCACTGCATGCACATGATAAGAACATGTAATTTTGTCGGACTGGTGGTGGCGCACGCCTTCAATCCCGGCACTCGGGAGGCAGAGGCAGATGGATCTCTTGAGTTTGAGTCCAGTCTGGTCTACAGAGTAAGTTCCAGGACCGCCAGGGCTACACAGAGAAACCCTGCCTTGGGAGGGGGGAGGGGGAACAAACATACAAAAAAAAAAGAAAGAATAGAAAAAAAGGTAATTTAAAAAATGTTAAGCCCTAATGTGCCCAAGCCAACAGGGACCAGATTGTTTACCTCAGCCCCCACCTGCAAGAAAGAGCTATGAAATGGGAGTTTTTGTTTTGACACAGGGTCTGGTGTAGCTCAGGCCATCCTCAAACGCACTAGGCAGCCTAGGATGATTGAGTGTTGGGATGCAGGCACAAGCAAGCACCCTCACACCCTGTTTCTTCGGTGTTTGGGAAGAGCACTTCATACTGGGGAGAGAATACACTGAGCTTCTTATCCCACCATGGGAGAAGTTTAAGGTCCACTGAACCCTCCCTGGAAACACCATCCACTCCTTCCTTCCATTTGATCCTGCGTCAGCTTCCCTGGGGAATTATGGAAAAACTCAGCTGAGGGGAAAGGAGTACATTAACAAGACGCAAAACATTTGGACGTTGGAGAAATTGGAGGCTCCACCCCACTGGCCAGCAGGCCGTGGCTGCAGGGCACCCGAAGTGATTCAGCTGTGAAAGCTTTGGCCCTCATACACACAATCACCTTACCACCTCAGTCTGCTGGACACCCACCCTGCTCAGAACCAGGCCACACCTACGTGACTCTTGCACATAGGGACCCCTCTCTGCCTGGAATATCCCCCCTTCCCGACTCGGCTGCGCAGTGAGGACATCGTCTCACCCTCATTTATATCCCAGTTGTCATCGCAGTGAGTAAGTGACGGACAGAGACCTTCACTGTCTCTGACCATAACGTCTTCCAAACCACTGTGTGAAGGCTTCCACACCACAGATTCGTCACCAAGGAACTGGAATCACCATCCCGACTCGGCCAAAACTAACTCCACTCAGTCACCTTTCTCTCCTGCAGAGCCCAAAAGGGCCTTTATTCTCCCAGGGAGATTGGAAATTTGGTGGAGTTTCCGGACAGAACACACACACACACACACACACATAAACACATAAACATACAAAGAGTGGGGGGAGAAAGTTCATACAGTTTAGAACAAGCTGTACTTAGTGGTGTGCACCTCTGAGCCCAGCCTTCAGGAAGCCAAGGCTGGAAGGTTGGAGGTTCAAAACCAGCCTGCCCTACCTGGAAAGATATTATCTCAAAAACAAAACAAAATGGGGGATGCATGGCACTCAGGAGGTAAAGGCAGATAGATCTCTGTGAGTTCAAGGCCAGCCTGGACTATATAATGAGGGAGGACCAGCCAGGGTTATATAATGAGAAGCACCGCCCCCCCCAGCCACCAAAAAAAAAAAAAAAAAGGAAAGAAAATTTCAATATTGAAATTGCTTGTTTTTGACACGGGACTTCATGTAACCGAGGCAAGGCTGAAACTCCCTGTGAAGTCAGAGATAAAGTTCTGATTCTCCTGCCTCCACCTCCAGAGTGCTAGTGACCGACAGGTCTGTGCCACCACGCCTGGTGTGCGAGGTGCCGGGGATGGAACCTAGGGCTTCATGGATGCTAGGCAAGTACCAAAATGAGTTAAACCTGAATCTTGAACTACACACACACACACACACACACACACACACACACACACACACACGCACACACACACTGCTGTCCAGCCCCTTCCCCTACCCCACTAGGATCCAAAAACCAAAAGACTGCTCCAGAGAACCCGACTTCAAAGAAGAAAGATTAACATCTCAACAACTCCTGAACAGCATCGGCCAAGCTCCCAGGCCCTGGGCCAATCTGTTCACAATTAAAGCCACAGCCCACAGCCAAGCATTGCCTAAGCTGTCATCCAGTTGTGAGGGAAGCATCTGGAGCTCCAGTAACGCAGATGACAGAACCCCACCCTCAAAGGCCTACGTTACACAGTTGTGAGGGAAGCATCTGGAGCTCCAGTAATGCAGATGACAGAACCCCACCCTTGAAGGCCTATGTTACACCACTCCAGCGAGCTCTTCATTTTTGTTTTAACATGTGTTTGCCCTGTTGCCCTAACTGTCCTTCCTCAGCCTCCTAAGAGTGTGTGCCGGATGACAAGTGTATGTGTCATCACTACCAGCTCCACGGGAACTTCATGCTTGCCATCTCTCCATCCACCATAACTGCCTCTGTTTATTAATTAATTTCCTTACTTATCACTGCCTCCTACCCCTGCTGATGTGTGGCATCCTCAGCAGCATCTCAATCTACTGTATTCCCAGGTACACACAGCATATGGAGGAAGGAGGCTCTCCATGATATTTATAGGAGGAAGGAATGAAAGAAGGGTAGGAAAGAGGAAAGGAAGTAACAGGGATGTGTGGGTGGGTGGATGGATGGATGGGTGAGTGGATGGGTGGGTGGGTGGATGGGTAGATGGATGGATGGATCAGTTGATGGATGGGTGGATAGCTGGGTAGATGGATGGATGGATGGAGTGATAAATGGGTAGATAGTGGGGTGGATGGATGGATGAGTAGATACATTGATGGAAATGTGAGTGGATGGATGAATAGACAGATGGTTGGATGGATGTGTGGGTGGACGGATTGATGGATGGTTGGGTTGATGGATGGGTGGACAGGTGGGTGGATGGGTGGGTGGGTAGATGGAGGGATGGATGGATGGATGGATGGATGGATGGATGGATGGATGGGAGGGTGGGTGGACAGATGGGTGAGTGGATGGGTGGGTGGATGGATGAGTAGATAGACTGATGGATATGTGGGTGGATGGACTGATAGATGGATAGATGAGTAGATGGATGGATGGATGGATGGATGGATAGATGTGTGGGTGGCTGTGTGGGTGGATAAAAGGGAAAGAAGGAGGTGTATGGAGGAGGCCTGGTGCTGAGTCTGCAGGACTGTGGGTGAAGCAGGTGCAGCTCCAGAGTCTGCTGCAGCAAATGGTATGAGCCTTGCAATGCTAGATGCACTGTGGTTCCTGTCAGCTTAAACACATCACACTCAGGTACTACATGAAATTGCAGGGCCTGAGTATCCGGTGAGCACTCATGTGGATTCAATCCTGGCACCACAAGAAGGTGGTAGACAATGGGAAATCTCTCAGGATGCTGAGGAAATTGCTGTGTGTGGTGCTGAGCACAGAATACATTCTTAGCAAAGGAGAATTGTCAGTTTTTCATTATTTTATGAATATATATTAGGTATATGTAACAACAGGTCCCATTCAGACATTTTCACTCCTGTATATGATTTACTTTGATTTCATATTCACCCATTACCCTCACCTTTTTTTTTTTTTTTTTTTTTTTTTTTGGTTTTTCGAGACAGGGTTTCTCTGTGTAGCTTTGTGCCTTTCCTGGAACTCACTTTGTAGACCAGGCTGGCCTCGAACTCACAGAGATCCGCCTGCCTCTGCCTCCCGAGTGCTGGGATTAAAGGCGTCCACCACAACCACCTGGCTTACCCTCACATTTTTAATTTGATGGTTTCTGTTTCAGTGCTTTTATATTTATGTATTTTATTTTAAATATATGAGCGTTTTGCCTGCACACATGCACATGCACCAACGTGCCAGCCTGGTGCCCATGGAAATATGGGGTCACATCCCCTGGAACTGTAGTTAAGGATGGTTGTGAGCCACCATATGGGTGCAAGAAACAGGACCCAGGTTTTCTAAAGAGCAGTAAGCACTGTTAACCATGGAGCCATGCCTCCCCCTACCCCCTCTGATCTCCTCTTATCTCCCTTTCACTCTCATTGACCCCCTTCCTCTTCCCAAATGTTTTTTGAGACAGGGTTTCATGTAGCCCAGGCTGGCTAACTCACCTCCAAACCAAGGATAACCTTGAACTCCTTCCTGTTCCTCCCAAGTGCTGGAATGACAGGCTGGGGTCATCATCAACTTAAATGAAAAAGATTCTCTGCCTCTTACCTAAGAGGGTGTCAACCGACACACCATGTAGGTCCAGAGATCCACTCTAAAATATGAAGCAAGTTGGCCACCAGACCCAGGGACTGTTCTGAGCTGTGTGCCTTCACAGAGCTCTGGACCTCCCCTCCCGGGAAAGCAGACCATGTATGTGCCTACCCTATTGGGAAGACGGACCTACAGCCCAGGGGGCAATCCTGAAGGGCTGTGTCACGTCTGAGGCAGGAACCTCTGCCCTTCGTGCCAATCTGAGTTTTACCTTCCTGCCGTGGCCCCGCTGTGGTGTACTCACACCTCCGCTGTGCTCACCTGTGGGGGAGGGCAGGCCCTCCCCACCACGACACCACACCCCACCCACCACCACCACCACCACACCACACCTCACCCCACCACACCACACCCCACCACCCCCACCACACCCACCACCACCACCACCACCACCACCACCACCACCACCACCACCCACCACCACCACCTCCACCCCATCCCCCCACTCCACCAACCAGGCTTCTAGTGGTGGGCACATGTGTAGGGCATACATGAGCTACAAAGATGGCCCCGAAAGGAAGTTAGCCCAAGCTGTTTATGCAGAGATTAGATACAAATGGTGCCGAAGGAAGTTAGCCCAAGTTGTTTACAAAAAAATATGATTGGAGCTTCAGGTCAAGAAAGATGATGTCAGTTCATGATTCTTTCATAGACAACACTATAAATACTGTAGACTAGGCATGTGATTGGGTAACCTTTAAGCTGATCGACCCAATGGGGCATTTGCCCCCCTGGGTCTTGTTTTCTTTATGCTTTAAAAGGCGCTTGTTGTTTGTAAATAAATGAGTCCTTGCCTGACTTGGCTCCCTGGGGGGAAAAGGGAGGCTGGGGAACAGGCGAGCAGAGCAGAGCACTTACCTTTCCTCGGTTCCAGGTCTCCCTTCTTGGGGGACCTAAGTTCCAGGTGGGGCAGGACCCCACACACATGTAAGCCACATAGAGCAGATTCAAATTCCAGCCCCACCTCCTTAGTAAATTCCTTCAGCTCTTGGTGCCTCAGTTTCCCCACCTGTGAAATGAAATTAACACCCATTGACTATCTCAAAAAGCAAGATGGCCACAGCGAAGGAGCTCCAATGTTGCCAGACATACAGCAGGCACTCAGAAAGTACAGCCCACACTGCCACTGACAGCCTAGCGTGTCTGTGACCATGTGGAATGCGAACCATTGAAATCCAATGCACGGCCCCTGCCTGCGGACAGGAAGACCTGTTTGGAGTGAACTACACAGAGCCAGCCCTCTGGAGGTGGAGGCAGAAGGATCAGGAGTTCAAGATCATCCTTGGTGACAAGTCCAGTTGGAGACCAGCCTGGGCTACAGGAGACCTTCAACCAACCAAAGGGGAAAAAAGCTCAGAAGCAGCAAAAAGTGCATAGAATGGAAATGATCTCTCCAGTCCTCAGAAGGGGATTGGTCAAATCAGTGCTGGTGAGATGAGTTCGGCAAAAACAGTTAGCTCATGTCTTTGAAGCACCGTGACAAGGCTCTCTCAGGGCTGAGCAAACAAAAGGTTTCTCAGGACACTGCTCGCACAGTGTGGAGAGGGGTCTGCAACGTCATTGTGCACACCCTGAGGTCTGCAGACACTGGGGAACATGGTGTGGCACCAGCTCGAATTTCCATATGTACAAAGTTTTGTTTGGGTTCCTCCTCTTCCTCTTCCCCTCCTCCCTCCCTCCACCCCTCCTCCTCCTTCTTCCTTTTAACCGTCAACAACCTGTGGTCAACTAAGCACCCACTAAGAAAGAAAAAGTGGCCACAGCTGTCTGGAAGAAGGGAAAATTCGGCGTCAGCAATAGGTGTTTCCCTGAGAAAGATGGGGGTGGGTGCTGGGCAGCCTGGGGACCCCTCAGAGAGGCGAGCTCTAGCTCAGTGATGGGAAATCAGCCAAGCTGGGTAGGAAGGGAATCCCAGCCTGGCCACCACCTGGAAGGGACTCTCCGGCGCTGCCAGGGGAAACAGCCATTGGACAGCCACAGTTAGACACAGGGACACAAATGACACCCACGGTCAGGACATAGAACAGACACTCACATCAACCACAAATACCCCACAGTCGCACACACACACACACACACACACACACACACACACACACACACACACACAGAAAGAGTATTATCAAACACACTGAGGATAGGACAGGTGAGGTGTGGCGGCTCATACCTGTCATCTGAACATTTGGGAACCTATAGTAAGACTTGTCCCGAGTCTGAGGCTAGCCTAAGCTACATGGTTTTAGGCTAGTATAGGCTTCAGAGATAGACTCTGTCTCACAAAGAAAGGGAGAAGGAGAGAGACAGACAGACAGACAAGAAAGAAAAGAGGTCTTGACTGATGGCTCAGCGGTTAAGAGCACACCCACTCCTGCTCTCTCAGAGGACAGGGTTAAGTCCCCAGCACCCATTTGGTGGCTTACTACCTCCTGTAACTCCAGATCCAAGGGGATCTGACACACTGTCCTGGCCTCCATAGGCGCTGCGCTCACATACACATGAATACAAATAAATTTTAAAACGTTTTAAGTGCTGGGGATATAGCTCAGTCACATAAGCATGAGGGCCTGAGTTGGATCCCAAGCCCCCCGGTTTTGCTTTTGTTTTGCTTTTTAAAGGCCAATGCTTGTAATCTCAGCTCTGCGAAGGTGGACACTGGAAGATTCCTGACACTCACTGGCAAGCCACTCTAGACAACAGCTGAGGCCCCAGACCAGTGAGACATCCTATCTTTTAAAAAATTAAAAACAAGCAAACAAACAAACAAAACCAATATTCCAGTAAAACAGCCAGGCCCCTAGTCTGAAGACCAGAACCCCCTCCTTGTTCAGCCTCGGCTCCCAGAGCGGGACACGCGCGTCCCCTGGTGGGCAGCAGGAGTGAGGGATGCTGAAGGTCCGTTCAGTATCCTTACTGGGGGTCCTTGGAAGGATGCGACACCAGAACCTGTAGGTCAAGAGGACCCCAGCCCCAGGACCGGACCCCGGAGACGCATGGCTGACCCTGTCATCCTGTCAGCATGGATCATGCTGTCAATGAGGGTGTTGTAGGAGGAGAGGCGGGTCCCTGTCGCTCCAACAGTGCCAGCTTCGCAGCACAAAAGTGGCCGGAGCCCATGGGTGCCACTTTAGAGTGGACTCTGGTTTCCAAGCCCGGACAATTCCCGGCATTCTCCTTCGGCCCCGCCCACTTCCCAGATGTCAAACTCCGGGTCCCTGCCCATTCCCTTGACCCCTTTCACTTCCCTACCGTTCTCCCTAAGGCCCCTCCCACTACCTTTCCCAGGCTACGTCAGTTAGTTCCTCCTACCTGCTCTGTCATTCTCCCTAAGCCCGCCCACTTCCCAAATGTCATTTTCTCTGGACCTTCATTCGCAGTCCCTCCCAATGGCTCCTTCATTCTCCCTAGGCCCCGCTCACTTTCCGCGATCATCCTCCCGGGCCTTGCCTGCCTGCTTTCTCAGTCCCTCCCAGCGGCCTTGTCATTCTCTCTACGCCCCGCCCACTTCCCCAGCCATCCACTTGCTCGGAGTTCTGGATTCCCACGTCATTCACCCTCCTAGCCCCGCCTACTTCCCCCACAGTTAGTTTCCCAAGCAGACCCTGTTCAGCTCCCCCGTCCCGCCCACTTCCCTGCCAATCTCCAAAGGCAGGTTCCTTCGGGTCATTACCCCAAGGATTACCCCAAGGCTTGAGGCTTCACCGACTTCTCCACCAGCATGCCAGGCCCCCGCCCTCGTCCTTCCCACATTGACATCATTCTCCCTATTCCACCTGCCTTGCTTTTTTTTTTTTTTCTTTTTGGAGCTGAGGATCGAACCCAGGGCCTTGCGCTAAATCCCCAACCCCTCCAACTGCCTTTCTTCTAGGCCCATCCACAGCCATCTGGTGGGGTTGTGTGGTAACGCCCGACTCTAACCACCTAGGTGAGAAAGCCTGTTTCCCTGCCGGCCTTTCCTCAGAGAAATCTCACTCCTAAATCCACCTGGAACCGGTAACCGCAGGGCAGTCTTCCGCCCTCCTCCTCCTTCTGTGCCTTACAAGCTCCTCTTCCAGCTGCTGGACACACCCACCCCATCTTATTCGCTGTAAGATTTAGTTTGTTTTTATATGTGTGTACGTGTTGTCTGTGAGTGGATGCTGTGAGGGTTCGGAGATGCCAGAAGAGGGGGTCAGATCACCTGGAGCTAGAGTTAATGGTGACTGTGAGCTGGGGTTGAGCTCTGGGGACTGAACTCTGGTCCCCTGCAAGAGCAGCAAGCTCTCAGCCACTGAGGCATTTCTTTTTTTTTTTTTTTTTTTTTTTTTTTTTTTTTTTTTTGGTTTTTCGAGACAGGGTTTCTCTGTGTAGCTTTGCGCCTTTCCTGGAACTCACTTGGTAGTCCAGGCTGGCCTCGAACTCACAGAGATCCACCTGGCTCTGCCTCCCGAGTGCTGGGATTAAAGGCGTGCGCCACCACCGCCCGGCGAGGCATTTCTTTAGCCCCCAGTTCAGAAGATCACCACATCTGGGCATGGCCCAGCCTTGAGATCCACTTCCTGATCCCCAAATCTAAAGGGGTGATGGAGAGGAGGAGGCTCCCTGCCCCCCCTCACCCCGCGCGTGTGCACTTGGACTGTGTGCCTGTCCATCCCTGTGGGACTCAATGTGTGTTTGTGCCAATGGGAGAAAGGGTCTCAGCACAGGTGTTGCTTCCAGCCCACCATGCTGGCATGCGAGGGTGTGTATCTGTCTCCCAGACTGTGTATTGCCTATCTGATCTAGCCTGTTTGACCAATGGCAGCTTGAGAAGGAAAGCAGTTTTTCGTCTTACAGCTCATGGTCCACCATTCAGGGATGAAGAGGGAGGAACCTGGAAGCAGAAACTGAAGCAAAGACCACAGAGTAAACGAAAACACTCACTTCCCCCTGAGGGCTCAGCCTGCCTTCCTGAAGCCCAGGACCACCTGCCCAGGGATGGCACTGCTCACAGTGGGCTGGACCCTCCACATCAATCAGCAATCAAGAAAATGCCTCACAGGCTTGCCCACAGGCCAATCTGATGGAGGCACTTAATTCTGCCTGAGTCGCCCACACTGCCTTAAGCAACCCCTTTCCCAAGTATGTCAACTTGACACAAGCTAGAGTCATCTGAGAGGAGGGAGCCTCAATTGAGAAAATGCCTCAAGCAAGCCTTTAGGACATTTTCTTAATTAGTGATTGATGGGGAGGAACCAGCCCACTGTGGGTGGTGCCATCCCTGGGCTGCTGGTCCTGGGTTCTATAAGAAAGCAGACTGAGCAAGCCATGGGGAGCAAGCCAGTAAGAAGCACCCTCCATGGCCTCTGCATCAGCTCCTGCCTCAGGTTCCTACCCTGCTTTAGTCCCTGTTCTGACTTTCTTCAAGGATGGACTGTGATCTGGAAGTATAAACCAAAGAAACCCTTTCCTTTCCAACTTGCTTTGATGATGGTATTTCGTCCCAGCAATAGAAACCCTAAGTAGGACACCAAGAAACCCTAATAAACTCATTGGTTCACCAAACTAAGCCTGGGTTCAATTGTTTCTGTTTCTCTTTCTTTTCTGAGTTATCTTTTTTTTTTTTTTTGGTTTTTCGAGACAGGGTTTCTCTGTGTAGCTTTGCGCCTTTCCTGGAACTCACTTGGTAGCCCAGGCTGGCCTCGAACTCACAGAGATCCGCCTGGCTCTGCCTCCCGAGTGCTGGGATTAAAGGCGTGCGCCACCACCGCCCGGCCTGAGTTATCATTTTTAACTACTTATGTATTTGTGTTTTGCCTGCATGTATGTCTGTGCATGACTCGTGTGCAGTGCCCATGGAGGCCAGAAGAGGGCAGCAGATCCCGGGACTGGTGTTACAGCTGGGAGCCACATGTGGACTCGGTAAACTGAACCCTGGTCCTCTGTAAGAATACGTGCTCTTCACTGCTGTCTGTCTCTCCAGACCCTTTGATTGTTTTGAGTCAGGATCTCACTATATAGCCCTGGCTGTCCTGGAACTCGCTTTGTAGATCAGGCTACCCTCAAACTCACAAGGATTCACCTGCCTTGGCTTCCCAAAAGCTGGGATTAAAGGTGTGTGCCACCACACCTGGCTGGGATAATTTTGTTTGTTTGTTTTGTTTGTTTTTGGTTTTGCCCGTTGATGTCCTTTCTATCTGGTTACATTACTGAAAAGTTCACCCAGGCATGTGTGGTCCAGGACTGAATAAGATCATAGCCAGGTGGTAGTGGCGAATGCCTTTGATTAGGAGGTAGAGGCAGGCAGATCTCTGTGAGATGGAGGCCACCCTGGTCTATAGAGTGAGTTCCAGGACAGCCAAGGCTACACAGAGAAACCCTGTCTCAAAACAGCCAAAAGAAGAAGAAAACCACGATGCACTAGACTGTGAAGCAAAGCAAACCCTCCCTCCTTAAACTGCTTCTGTCCGGTGCTCTGTCCCAGTGACTAGACCAGTGTCTAACACAGCGGCCACAAGCCACCACCCCCTCCATACATACAGACAGGGGACACTGTGGTGACCAAAGCACCCTTCTTGGGAAAGTTGCATTATCTGTCCCCTTATCCCCAAGGCCAGGAAGGAAGTCAGGGGCTGTGGATGTTGCGTCCAGCTGCATGGCTCTACCAGACTTTAATGAGTGGCACACTGAGGAGACTCACGGGGCTGGAGACACAGCTTAGCTGGCAGAGGGCTTGCCTAGCTTGTATGAAGCCCAAAGTTCCATCCCCAGCACAAACTGTGTGTAGCCCCTCTGTCATCCCAGAACACAGATCAGGAGTTCAAGGCCAGCATGGGCTATGTGAAAGGAAGGGGTGGGAAAGGAAATGGAGAGGAGAGGAGGGGAGGGGAGGGGAAGGAAAAGGAGGGGAGGAGAGGGAAGGAGGGAAGGAGGGAGGGGAGGGAGGGAGGAAGCAGGCAAGTTGGTTCAAGAGAGACCCTAACAGAAAACTGGCACCAATTTGACAACCCCTTCCCTGCCTGACTTGTTTGGTGATGTCAGGAGGTGACAGAGCCCATCCCCCACTCACATACAACTTTCACAATAATACCAAACTGTTGGACACAGATCGAGGCTCAGACACATGCACTGATCCCATATATGACCCCAAGCATGTACCAGAACAATCCAGAAACATACATGCATAACTTTTTAGAGGCTGTGAGATAGGGTCTCATTATGCAGCCTTGGCTAGCCTGGAAACCTCTAAGTAGACCAGGCTGGCCTTGAACTCAGAGATCTGCCTGTCTCTGCCTCCCAAATTCTGGGTTTAAAGGCATGCACCACCATGCCTGGCAAACTTTTTTTTTTTCAAGGTCTGAGTCTGTAGCCCAGGCTGGCCTCAAACTCACCATATAGCTGAGGAGGACCTCGAACTCCTGATCCTCCTGCCTCCATCTCCTAAGTGCTGAGATGACAGGTGTGAGTCACCAGCTCAGTCTCTGCAATGTTGGGGGTGGAGCCCAGGGCTCCTGCTTGGTTTGCCTGAGAAGTCTACCCCTTTTCCGTATGAAGGGAGGAGCAAGCTGGAAGATTTGCTTGCTGGAAGACAGATGCCTGCAGCTATCCATGTTGGCCCTCATAAAGATCTGTGAAGTAAGCCCTGGTCTGTCCTGGTCTATGATAAGCAGCACCGTCATCTTTAGTGACACAGCCAGCCCCTCCTTGGGCACACTTGCAATCCCACTGTTTGGCTGTGCACCCACTAAAGCCACCTCCTCCGTGGCAAGAGCAGCCTGCTGGTGTTGCGGGGAGAGACTGCAGAGGCAGACACAGCTCAGCACTGACTCCCTCCTCTTTTCTGAGAATCCTTCTACTCCAAACACCCCTGCCAAGCCAGACAATACATCGTGTCCTTCCAGTCTGTGAAGCTTAGCACTCATTTTCAATTTGACGACACAGCGTAAAATCACCTGGGAAGAGAGTCTCAGTGAGAGATTGTCTCAACTGCATGAACTGATGTGGGAAGACCCCGCCCATGGTGGGCAGCACCATTCCCTAGGCAGGGGTCCTGAACTGTGTAAGAGTAAAGAAATGGAGCAGAGAACCAGCAAGCAGGCACTCATTTCTCTGCTCGTGACTATGAGTGTCACATGACCAGCTCCTATCTTGATTTCTCCACAACTGTTGAACTATAACCTGGAATTCTAAGCCAAAATAAGTCCCTTTTGTTGTATTTTTAAAAACTTGTGAGAGAAGTCACTCCTACAATAGGGCCCACGTGGGAGGCTTATGGAGGGGAAGGGAGAGAGGGGGCAGAGAAGGGGGCAGAGACAGGTCCCCAGGGATGAGAGTGAAGGAAGAGAAAGAGACAGGAGGTGGGCACGGCCTGCCTTTTATAAGGAAATGTAGCAAATGTGCACAGGGGTGCTCTTAGGGGCTGCAGCTGAGGACATATCCTGTCAGGACCCTAAGGGCAGCCAGTACAGATCCCTAAATTCTAACACCTCTCTCCTACAAGCTGTTTTTTGTCAGGGTATTTTCTTGCAGTAGCAGACATAAAACCAGGACGGAGTTTGTTTGGGGGTGGCTTGTTCTTTCTGTGTGAGAGAGTCATTAGGAGTTATTAACTCTACAGACAGACAACACAGTGAGGCTCTGAGGAGAGACCAGGGACATGTGCCACAGTCCAGGCTCTCCTTAGAAGCTGGAGGGGGAGGCTCTAAGTCACAGGACTGAGGAACAGCCCATGGTACGTGCTGGAGCTGGCCTTCTGGATGTCTGGATCGGCTGAGGGTGAAAAGGGCAGGAATCTAAAACAAGTCGCTGGAGCTGGAAAACCAAATTACTATGTCAAGGGATTGTCACAGCTTGGCAATGGCCCTGCCAAACACCTCCCCTGTCCATACACACATACACACAAATGCACAAATATGTACTCCACAGTGTGGCCCTGACTAACACCTTCCCCTTTACACACACACACACACACACACACACACACACACACACACACACACACAGTCCACAGTGTGGCCCTGGCTAACACCTCCCCTGTACACACCCATGTGCATACACACACTCCACAGTGCCAGGCATGCCTTGGGTTGGACTTAGTATCCCTGCCCCACACCCCACACAACA